AGGGGGGGGGGGAGACAGAGAGAGAGAGAGAGAAAGGAAGAAAGAAAGAAATTGATTTGTCAGTGAGTGAAATATAAGTGACCATAACCAGTCTAGGCCTGGATTTCAACAGATATAAGACAGTAAACAAAGAAACTGAATTTCCTCTTAGTATGGTTGATGGGGACAAAGTGAAGAGGTCCTGGGATACAAGAGGGCAGGGTGGCCCAAGGCCCATTGCTCTATAGTCATATCAGGAAAAGTCATCTCTTGAGGTAATCTTTTCCTCTGCCAGGATCATGCCCCTTAAGATATAAACTCTATTCTGACATAGCTCTTCTCTACTGAATTCCTGTCTCCTGTTCTGTGATACAGACCTGAGTTGGACTGGAAAACATGAAAGGATGTTCTGTGCTTTGCCCAAGTGGTTTTCCTTTGTAAATACATAGGTTTTGTTTGTTTTCCATAGTTATTCCTGGTAAAGCTTCTTTTTTAAGAATCCATCTTTTTTTCAGCAGAGCCAAGAGGAAAAGGGAACTTCTACATATGCACCAGGTAATAAGTTGGAGCAGGGTATCCTTAGAGACATGGTATGGAGGCAATAGTGGCCTTCTCAGTTTTAAGAACTGGAAAGGAGCCAAGTGAATTGGAACAGAAATACAACAACTTAGAGAAAGAGAAAGCGTGGGCAGCTTTGTTTTCTACAGTACTTTCCCCTCCAACAAACTCATTTGGGCTAGTGTTTTGGATACCCTTACAGCTACTTCTACCTGATACAATACGCTCATTCTCTTTCTGTGAACTAGTTCCTCCATGATACTCCTGTTCTTGGATTAGAAACAGGAAAATGTAATGTAAATCTTCCCTCAGCCTCTTTGCCTAGGTGAAAGTAACTGGTTCGTGCTCTATAGATGGACAGAGACAAGTGAAAAGTGGTATACCTACCCAAATTGCAATGACTGATCCCACAACCACAATCTTGTGCCACTTGAACTGTTTGATGAATAGGTCTGTGGAAGCCTGGAGTTGTTTACTAGACATCTAGCATGTGACCAAGACCCTAGGTAGATAAAAGTTTAAAATCAGAAGGAGTAACATCATAAACATGGTGAAATAAGAGTTTTCTACTATTCCTCCCCCCCCCAAAGAACACCAACTTTGACAATCATCCATGGATGAGAGGGTTTTTGTAGAAGTTCAGGAGGCTAGTGGAGAAGTTCCAGCACACCCTTAGAGCAATTATGATCCAGCAATTCTAGTCATGTTCACAAAAATCTTATGTGAGAATGTTGATAGCAAACTTATTCATAATATTCCCAAATTGGAAAATACAACCCGGCCGGGTGTGGCTCAGCAGTTGAGCGTCGACCTAGGATCCAGGCGATCAGGGTTCGATTCCCGGTCAGGGTACATGCCCAGGTTGTGGGCTTGATCAGTGACTCTCTCATCATTGATGTTTCTATCTCTCTCTCTCCCTCTCCTTTCCTCTCTCTGAAATCAATAAAGATATATTTAAAAAACAAACAAACAAAAAAACCCACAAATATCCACCAATGGAAGAATAGATAAGCAAGTTTTGATACATTCACAAAGTTGAATACCACTCAGCAATAAAGCTGATAAATGCAACAACAACAACAAACACAAAAGGTAGATATGTATATTACATGATTCTTTTAATAAGAAATTCCAGGAGTGACAAACTAATCTATAATGATAGAAATCAGAATGGCAGTTGGCTATGGTGAAAACAGTTGACTGGAAAGGCACATAAAGAAAATTTATAGTGTTCTGTAATGTCTTTTATCTTTAACTGGGTGATGATTATATGGATATTTACATTTGTCGAAACTAATTACACACTTAATAAGATCTGTGGATTTGCCTATATATAAATTATGCCTCAATAAAAATGAGGAAAAACAAAGATTAGAGAAAAGAAAAATATGTATATTCATATAACTCATAACTAACTTCATCAATAAATGAGTGGATAGAACAGCTATGGCACATTTACACAATGGAATACTACTCGGCTGTAAAAGGGAAATTTTACCCTTTGCAACAGTATGAATGGACCTAGAGAACATTATGCTAAGTGAAATAAGCCAGCCACCATATGATTTCATTCACATGTGGAATTTAATGAACAAACTGAACTACCAAGCAAAATAGATATAGACTCATAGATCAAGAGCTGAAAGACAACTTTGGTGGGGATGGGGGGCTTTGAGGGAGATTGAGTTAAAAAGAAAAAACAGAGAGAGAACTCATGGGTAAGGACAACAGTGTGATGATTGAGGGCATAGGGGGGATGTAGAAGAGGGCATAGACAGGATAAATGGTGATGAAAAAAATAAAATAAAATAATATAAAATAAAATAAGACTAAACATAGATCCACCTCAAACTATTACAAAAAATTCTAGAGGAAGGAAGACTTCAAGCTCTTTTTACGAGGCAAGCATTATCCTAATTCCAAAACCAGATAAACACCCTACAAAGAAAAACAATTATAGGCCAAAATCCTTGATGAACATAGATGCTAAAATCTTCAACAAAATATTAACAAATCGGATCCAGCAATACATTAAAAAGGCCATACACCATGACCAAGTGGGATTATTCCAGGGATGCAAGGTTGGTACAATATTTGCAAATCAATAAATATGATGCATCATATAAACAAATTGAAAGACAAAATCATATGATCATATCAACAGATGCAGAAAAAGCACTATACACAATCCAACACCCATTTATGATAAAAACTCTCAGCAAAGTGGGAATAAAGGGGTCATAACTCAACATAATAAAGGCCATATATAATAAACTTATAGCCAACACCATACTCACTGGGCAAAACCTAAAAGCATCCCCCTTAAGATCAGGAACAAGACAGGGGTGTCTGTTTTCACCACTCTTATTCAACATAGTACTGGAAGTCCTAGCCACAGTAATCAGACAAGAACAAAACATAAAAAGCATCCAAATTGGAAAGGAGGAAGTGAACTGTCATTATTCACAGACGACATGATATTGTACATAGAAAACCCTAAAGACTCCACCAAAAAGTACTAGATTTAATAAATGAATCTGGCAAAGTAACAGAATACAAATTAACATCCAGAAATTGATGACATTTTAATGCACCAATAATGAACTCTCAGAAAGAGAAACTAAAAATACAATTCCATTTACAATTGCAACAAAAAATATCTCCGAATAAACTTAACCAACGAGGAAAAAGAGCTATACTCGGAAAACTATAGGGTATTGAAAAAAAAATTGAGGAAGATACAAACAAGTGGAAGCATATACCGTGTTAATGGGTTAGAAGAATTAACCTCATTAAAATGTCCATACTACCCAAAGCAATCTACGGATTCAATGCAATCCCTATTAAAATAACAATGGCATATTTCACAGATCTAGAACAAATGTTCTAAAAACTTATATGGAACCAAAAAAGGCCCTGAATAGCTTCAGCAATTTTGAGAAAGAAGAGCAAAGCTGGAGAGATCACAATACTAGATATCAAACTATACTACAAATCCACTGTAATCAAAACAGCCTGATATTGGCACAGGCGTAAAGATCAATAAAACAGAACAAAGACCCCAGAAATCAACCCACACCATTATGGTCAATTAATAGTTGATGAAGGAGGCAAGAGCATACAATGGAGTAAAGACAGTTTCTTCAATAAATGGTGTTGGGGAAATTGGATAGGTATATGCAAAAAAAAAAGAAGAGAGAAAGAAACTAGACTACCAACTCACACCATACATAAGAATAAACTCAAAATGGATAAAAGACTTAACTGTAAGTTGCAAAACCATAAAAATCCTAGAAGAAAGCATAGGAAGCAAAATCTCAGGCATCTCATGTGGCAATATTTTCACTGATACATCACCTAGGGCAAGTGAAACAAAAGAAAAAATAAACAAATGGGACTACATCAAGCTAAAAAGCTTCTGCACAGTAAAAACCCCCACAATCATTAGCAAAATAAAAAGGGAACCCACCATATGGGAGAACATATTCGACAATGATATATCTGATAAAGGGTTAATTTCCAAAATATATAAAGAATTTATGCAACTCAACACCAGGAAGACAACACAATCCAATTAAAAAGTGAGTGAAGGACCTGAATAGACACTTCTCCAAAGAGGACATACAAATGACCAATAGACATATGAAAAAATGCTCAATGTCACTAATCATCAGAGAGATGCAAATTGAAACCACAATGAGATATCATCTCATACCTGCCAGAATGGCTGCCATCAATAAATCGACAAACAAATACTATCAAGGATGTGGAGAAAAGTGAACCCTAGTGCACTGCTGGTTGGAATGCAGACTGGTGCAGCCACAGGAAAACAGTGTGGAGTTTCTTCAAAAAGTTAAAAATGGAACTGCCTTTTGACCCAGTGATCCCACTTCTGGGAATACATTCTAAGAAGTTCAAAACACCAATTTGAAAGCATATATGCACCCCTATGTTCATAGCAGTGTTATTTACAATAGCTAAGATCTAGAAAGATTCCAAGTGCCCATCAGTAGATGAGCGGATAAAAAGGCTGTGGTACATTTACATAATGGATGGAATATTATGAAGCTGTAACAAAGAAGGATCTTTTACCTTTTGCAACAGCAGTGGATGGACCTGGAGAATATTATGCTAAGCAAAATAAGCCAGCCAGAGAAAGACAAATATCACATGATCTCACTTATATGTGGAATCTAATGAACAAAACAAACTGACACGTGGATACATGAAACAGACTGACAAATCTCAGAGGGAAGGGGGTGGGGGGATGGGAGAAGATTAATCAAAAAACATATGCATATATGCATAGCCCATGGACACAGACAATAGTGTGGGGAAGGCTTGGGGCAGGGGCTGGGTGGAGGGGGGCAAAGGAGGGGAGGGGAATGAGGGACATCTGTAATACTGTCAACCATAGGAAAAAAAAATAATAAAATAAAGACTAAAAATAGAATGTAAAATGTTCAAATCATCAGGAAAAAAAATGATTCATTCATTGGAAAGTAGAGAAAGAGAAAAAAAGTACAAAAAAATGGGAAATTCGAAATAAATTGGAAAAAATAAGTCCTAATTTATATATTGTCATTGCAAAAAATGTAAATAGAGCCCAGCCCGGCATGGCTCAGTGGTTGAGCATCGACTGTGGATCCAGGAGATCGCGGTTGGATTCCCGGTCAGGGCACATGCCAGGGTTGCGGGCTCGATCCCCAGTCAGGGGCATGCAGGAGGCAGCCGATCAATGATTCTCTCATCATTGATGTTTCTATCTCTCTCTCCCTCTCCTTTCCTCTCTCTGAAATCAATAAAGATATATTTAAAAAAATGTAAATAGAGGAAAGTAATCAAGAACATATGTTCTCAGCCTGGCTGGTGTGGCTCAGCTGCTGAGCATCAACCTATGATCCAGGAGATCAAGGCTTGATTCCCAGGCAGGGCACATGCCCAGGTTGGGGGCTGGATCCCCAGTGAGGGGGCGTGCAGGAGGCAGCCGATCAGTGACTCTCTCGTCATTGATGTTTCTATCTCTCTCCCTCTCCCTTCCGCTCTCTGAAATCAATAAAGATATATTTTTTAAAAAAAGGACATATGTTTTCAGTGGACATCTCACTGAGAAGAAGGGACTGGGCTTACCACACTCAACCTCTCCCAAACTAAAAAGTGTTCTTTCATGGAGAAATTGCCTTCCTCCTCCTTTAAGGCTGGACCTCAGAGAAGGGCAGGATTAACGGGGGCAAAGACAGGCATACTCCTAGGTAGCGCTTTGGTGGCTTATGACATGTTTAAGTAGAACATGGCTAAAGAAGGACCACGTGGCCCAGGAGCAAAGCCTAGGGAGGGCCCAGAGGACTACTTATATTGGGCACATGGGCTTGGGGGATCTTTCAGGTTGTCTAAAGTCAGAGAGAGATGTATGTACTCTCTGGGAACCTGGCCTGGAGCTTGAGAAGCAGGCCTTCCACTGTCCACCATGAATCCTGGGAGTGGCAAAGAGCTAACACCACTTGACTCAGTGACAATCTGGCTGGTGAAGTTGGGGGACCATCAAGTTGAGGATGAACTGAAACTGCTCTTGACCTTCTGCATTAACTTCTGCCTGTTCTCTAATCCAGGGCAGTAAAGAGCCCTGGCCAGGACACAGGATAGCAAATGAGTGGTGTCACCAATATCATTGTAATTTTCCACATTATTGTCTCACAGTGTCTGCGAAGGGATTAAGTATATCATACACAAGTGTAATTGAAACGATGAGACCCCATAAAAATGTGAGACAATAACATCAGCAGGAAAATAGTAGCAGTAGCAACACGGGACACCTAGGCAAATTTTTAGCTTCCACCCAAATGAGGATGGGAGGCAGGAATAAGTGTATGAAAAGAGATTTCATACCCCAACTGCTATAAGCAAACTCCAGATACACCCATTTTATTTCGTTTCTTGAAACACGGGGATCTTAGCCCCCAATTCTACCTACCTTCTCATCCTTCACCTCCATCAAGTACCTAGAAATTCCACCCCTGCTTCCTTGTACCTATAATGTTGGACAGACTTCCTTAAAATTTAAAAGCCACCAACACTGCTCTAATAAATCCAGTCATCCTACACTGTTAAGCATCTGCTTCCAGCATGATTACCACATCATGTTTATTCAACAGCTTAAACCAAAGGCTAATAATTAGAGAATTAACGTAGGACAGAGCCAGTAATCTCTTCTCCGACTTCATAAAGCAGCTGCCGCCTCTTCTTTTATTCCTTCCCATCATTTAATAAGGACCTTATGTCCTCCTCAGCACTTACTTCTTGGGGTTGATGGAAAACCCAGGAATCCAGACCATTGTCCCTTAGAAATCCAGACGTCTTATCATTCAGTTGATCTTTTTTATTCCTGAGACTAGGTCATAGGCTTCTTAGTCTCCCCAACACAGCCTTAGGACCTAGGCAGACACATTCAGCTAGAGAAGACCAAGAAGAGGAATCAGTCTAATTATAAATGATGCCCTGGACAAAGTCAAGTTGACATCACAAGTCAAACCCCAAAGCGATGCCAGCAAAGCCATCTCAGGAAAGTTTGTTCAGCTGATAGATGAACAAGTTACTACTATATATGCACCTGGATTTACTTTTAGAATTTGGGTGGCAATCAGTGTACATGGTTCCCTAGACAACAATGTGTTCAGAGCCACCTAGATGATTGCCTTGCATAAGGCAGTAGCCCATAGAGGCAAAAAGGAAAGTGGGAACCATAGTGGCTGCGGCCCCTGCCACTGCCTAGTGTCATCTCCCTCTCTTCTCTGGTCCAGTCTATGAATGAAAATGAACATGCAGGGAAACCACGAATTGGGATACAGAATCACAGGGTCAGTCTTGGGCCTGTTGGTATAGCACTGTGATCCCATCTACTTTAGCCATCATCCCTGGCTCTGCTCAGTTGGACACTGGTTACTGACTTTTGGAAGGTAGACACACAGTATCCTATCCTAGAGATACTCAACATATTCTAGAAATAAAGCCCATTTCACCCCCTCCCAACCATGAATCTACTCCCGGATCTCCTCCAAGATTGCCTGTGCTAATTGTCATCTCTGAGGTCTCTTTCTCTGTTATTTTTCTCAAGTTCTCAGCAGTATTTAAACTGTTGACCACTCTCTCCTTGAAACCCTATCTAATCCTGTGTGGGTTTTTGTTGTGTGTTTTTTTTTTATAACTACCTGAGTCTCCTGTCTTCCTGACCACTCAGATGCTGTCTCATATTCCCATCTATGGACATTACCCAATGTTCTATTTGTTAAGCCCTGCACACATCACTTTGTCAAAATCAGGCACGATATCTTGTGCCCTTCTTTGTATTCCAGACATTAAGGACAGTAATTTGCCCAGATTGTGATTTTGATCCATACTGGTTGTTTGATAAATACACTAAATGCCCTGTTCCCTAAACCTGAATCTGCCCATCTGTCCCCTTCTCCTGCTCTCATTTTCTTTCTGAAACCTAAGCCCTCTTACCTCATTGCAGAATACCTCTCAACTCTTCTTGTTCTTTCTCTTATTCCTCTATAAAGTCCCCAAAGTCGTGATTCTTCTCTTTATAGCAATTCACAGGGTAACGTCCTGCCAGTGCTTCAACAACTGCCAAAAGTATGGCATCTGCAAACACATTGATGATGTGGCCAGTCAGGTGCCCAGAATGAGGACAAATTTGGAGAAACGGCAGCAGCAGTAAGAAAGAGAGAACCACACTTCTTAGCAGAATAAACTTAGAGGCACAGAACACAATAGCAAAGAAGAAATGTGGGAATAGTGCTGTAGGCAAGAGGAGCTTAATCACTGTAGAACAGTATGGTCCAAACCCCCAGACAAAGAATAATAACTTCCTCTTCCCACTTACCATGTGAGCAGAAAATTTAGTCTTAAGTTTTCTAGCAGCAAGGTCAATGCTAAAGGACATAAAATGTTTTCTTTCCCAGTAAAGTAAGAAACAGCTTTGGAGAAGAACTCCCTATTAACTAAACCATAGAATACACAGGGGAGGGAGTTGAGTTGTTTTGGGAAGAACTTGAGATAACAAGGTCCCTGAGGAAAATGGAGTTTGGCTGAATAGGGTCATAGTTTCAAGGGCTAAGGGAAGGAAGTCGGGATCAGGGGATTGCAAGGCGAGGGTTGAGCATGCTGGCTTCTTTCCAGGTCAGCAGGCTCCATGACAGGCTGTGGTCATTTTCAGCTAACTGTTCCCTGAGTGTTCAGGCAAGGTTGGGTGCCAAATACAAAATAAGTACTCACCTAAAACCATATCCAGGTAATTTCAGGCATCTACCTTATCCCAGGGTATACATTGAAAGTCCTGGGCTCTAGCCCAGGAAATAACTTTGAGCATGGTATATAAAGTTCTCAGGGATTTTCTCATTCAATTCTGTTATCTGACCACTTGCCTCACCCCATTCTCAACACAAAAATATTGTGTGGTTTTGAGTATCCATTTCACAGCCTGAAATGCCCTTCTGATGATATTCTGTGCTTAGATAATCCAAACTTCTTTCCAAGCTCAACTCAGGTATCTCACTTTTGTGGAATTCTTCCCTAGACCACAAAGGCTGGGTTATATGCCTGTTTTGTATATTCTCATAGTCACTTTATTATAACATTTAACATATGAACCTGTAATTGCCAGGCACATAATCAATACTCTGATTAATCCAAGTTCTTTCAAGAAATGAAAGCTAATTCTGGCTAATTAAAAAGTAAAGGGTATTAATAAAAGGATCTTGGGTAGCCCACATACTGCTGGGAGACTGAGGAAGCAAGCTTGGATGCTAAGCTTCCAGGAACTATACTTTATACCATCTGCACCACTGATGCCCAACTGAGTAGAAGGAGAAATTCCTGCTATGGTTTAAACTGTACCAAGGATGCCACTTCTGTGCTAGGAGACTGATCTTGCAACTACCAGCACTATTGAAAACTAGGTGCTTCTGTTACCACTCTCACCAACAAAATGGATTCTGGTGGACCCCATTTTTCAAGTTACTCATTTCTGAATTAAAGGATCTGATATGATGGAAACCAAGTGAAGAGACAGTTTCAACAAGGAAGGAGTGACTCAGAAAAAAAATCAAAAGATAAGGATTGAAATTCATTTGGGCTTCCGGTCAGGATGGTGGCATAGGTAAAATGCGGTACTCACCGCCTCCCACAACCACACCAAAATTACAACTAAAATACAAAACAACCATCATCCAGAACCACCTGAAATCTAGCTGAACAGAAGTCCTACAACTAGGGAATTAAAAAAAGAAGCACATTGAGAAGGTAGGAGGGGTGGAGACATGGGCAGAATCCCAGAACTGCTGGTCCCACACCCATGGGTGGTGGTTTAAAGCTGGGAGGGATATCTCAGCTGTGGAGGCTCCCCAGAGGAGCAACAGACCCCAGCCCCACACCAGGCTCCCAGCCCAGGGTTCCAGTGCCGGGAAGAGAAATCTACACAACTTCTGGCTGTAAAAACCAGTGGGAAATGAGGCTGAGGGAGGCTGAGGCTGCTGGAGTCCCAGGAAGCTCCTCTTAAAGGACCCATGCATGGACTTACTTGGACTCACTCCCTCTGAGCTCCAGCTCTGGGGCAGCAGCTTGAAAAGATCCAGGGACATACAGGGAGGAACTAACTTGCCTGGAATTGGGGCAAAAGCTGAAGGGGCAGCTTTCTTCCAGACAGAAGAGCTGGCAGAGACCATTGCTCCTTTAATGAGCCCTCCCCCCACAGAGCTTGCAGGCGCCTTTTCTGAATCTCCATCAAAAATAGGCCTCTCTTGCCTCATGCTTTGGAAGACTTTCTTAAAATCTCTCAAACAAGCAGCAGCTGATCTCAGCATGCTCCATACCTCTCAATAAGTGGCCCTAGGCCCAGCACTAGCAGCAGCCCACCTTGGTTCATAGCTTGGCCTCTCCTGGGCACCTCCAAGCCCAACACAAGTAGCAGCCACCTACAGATTGCTGTGTAGCTCAAGCTGGGTGGCCATGGGCAGGGCACAGGCAAAGGCAGACTTTGTACCTCCGAGGAGGTCCCAGAGACAGTGCACCTGGTGGTCAGCTTCTATCAAGCTGGGATTACAACCCTACCACATCCATGGGTGACACACTCAAGGGCACACTTGGTGAGCATCAAAGCTCCACTGAAGCAAATCCTGCTCCATAAGGGTGTCTCCTGTGCAGCCACTCTACAGCTGTAGTTGCAGCTGGTCCTCACAGCCAATTGGCCTGGGGCTCAGTTTCTCCAAGTGATACCAACAGCAATCAAGGCTCAACTACAACAAGATAATGCACACAGCACACACAGGGGAGCACCTAGAGTGCCCAGCTCAGGTGACTGAGGAGGCTGAGCCATTGTAAAGCACACCTACTACACAAAGCCACTCTACCAATTCCAGGAGACATAGCAGCTCTGCCTAATACATAGAAACAAACACAGGAAACCAGCCAATATACAGAGACAAAGAAATAAAGAATATATTAACTGAAATAAAAAATAATTTACAGGGCCCAGCTAGGCATGGCTCAGCAGTGGAGCATTGACCTAGGATCCAGAAGATCGTTGTTCGATTCCTGGTCTGGCACATGCCCGGGTTGTGGGCTCGATCTCCAGTTGGGGACATGCAGGAGGCAGCCGATCAATGACTCATCATTGATGTTTCAATTCTCTCTCCTTCTCCCTTTATCTGTCTGCAATCAATAAAGATATATTTTAAAAGAAGGAGAATAATAATAATAATAATTTACAGGGAATCAACAGTAAAGGACACTGAGAATCAAATCAGTGATATGGAACATGAGGAAGCAAAAAACACTCAATCAGAAGAGCAAAACAAAAAAAGCATCCAGAAATATGAAGATAGTGTAAGGAGCCCCTGGGACAACTTAAGCGGTCTGACATTTGTATTATGGGGCTGCCAGAAGGAGAAGAAAGAAGCAAGAAATTGAAAACCTATTTGAAAAAATGACAGAAAACTTCCCCTACATGGTGAAAGAAATAAAATTACAAGTTCAGGAAGCACAGAGTCCCAAACAAGAAGAACCCAAAGAGGCCACAGCAAGACACATAATTAAAATGCCAAAGGTTAAAGATAAAGAGAAACTCTTAAAAGCAGCAAGAGAAAAGCAGTTAATTACTTACAAGGGAGCACTCCTATGACTGTCAGCTGATTTCTCAACAGAAACTTTGCAGGCCAGAAGGGAGTGGCAAGAAATATTCAAAGTGATGAAAAACATGGAACTACAACCAAGATTATTCTACCCAGCAAAGCTATCAATTTAGAATTGAAGGTCAAATAAAGCGCTTCACGGGCAAGAAAAAGCTAAAGGAGTTCATCACCACCAAACCAGTACTACATGAAATGTTGAAGGGTCTTCTTTAAGAAGAAGCTAATGAACAAAAGAAACTGACAAACAAAATTGACCCAGAGACATTGAAGCATGCAACAGACTGATGTATTTCACAGGGGGTGAGTGGGGGTAGGGGTGGGAAGAGATTAACCAAAGAACTTACATGCATATATGCAAAACTGATGGACACACACAATAATTCGGTGAAAGCCTGGGGAAGGGGCCAGAGCGGGGTAGAGGAGGTCAATAGGGGGAAAAAGAGGGATATCTGTAATACTTTCAACAATAAAGATAAATTTTTTTGAAATGTAAGGATTGATACAACTTAAAGAATTAGAAAGCTCCCTTGTGAAGCCATCTGGACCAGGGCTTCAGTTTGCTGGGAGTTTTTTTTGTTACTGCTTCAATTTCATCAGTTGTTATTGGCCTATTCAGGTTTTCTGATTCTTCCTGATTCAGTTTTACATGATCTCACTCATATGTGGAATCTAGTAAACAAAATCTGAGGAACAAAACAGATCCAGAGACACAGAAGCATGGAACAGA